ACTAAACAACAAAACCCTAGAAGTTCAAGTGAACCAAGACCCAACCCAAACATCAGGGTGTGTGGGATGTTCGATAAGCTCCCTCACAAGCATGAGTGAGCATGCACGATGAGAAGACCTATTAAGTGGTGCAGTGTAATGTGAAGATCCTTTGGAGAAACCTACTTACTTACCTAGAGCCTATAGACCCAAACACTACATTAGATTAATGTACCATAGAGCACCAAAAAAAAAAAAATGTAGAGCCATGGCATTTTACATATAGAGCACTACGAAGAGCATGCGTCAATATTTAAGTGGACCGCATCTTACAAGAAAATATGTCCATATGTCGAGTGACACGTGGATCCTTGTGCTAAGGCCATGTGATGTGATTTAATGTGACATCACATGTTGGCTGCCACCAAGGAATATGTAAACCAGAGTGGAAGCAGAAAGTCTAATGGACAAGGATAAAATAGATTCAATATACAATAATGATACGCAGATCGCAAATGAGCCAGAAGTATGAACACTAATTAAGAAATTGATGCATTTAATTACAACTATCCACTTGATACAAGGTGAGACCAATAGATAAAGATAAAAAATTATTCAAGTTTCAAGAGAAAAAGACAACAAACCATTTGTTGAGCAAATCCACTGCTCTATATTTCCTGTAATGGAAACAAATTAAGATATAAGACACATTATAGGATTGCAGCAACCAAAAAGACGTAAAATATGATCAAAAAGTGCAGATCAAAATATAAAATTAGTGGAAAGAGAGACAGATAGAAACTCTCCAGAAATCAACAACACACTTTTTTCAAAAACAAAACAAATAAGCCATAAATTCAGTATAGAGAGCAATCTAAACTAGTCAGTTGAGATCTGAACAGCAATTGAAACATACATCTCGCCAATCCTAAAGCCGGCACAGAGACTACAAAAACCGCACGCTGAATGGAAAACTGATGTAGGAAAACAGAATTATTTGCATTAGTGAAAATTGGAACACAATTAATTAAGCAGGTAAGGTAAGGTAAGGTGGAGATGGAGAGAGAATTACTAATTCGACCAACCAACGGCCGCGCTTTAATAACGTTTTGAGTAACCAGTTTAGCAACCTGTGTACTCATCATGGTGGCAATCTGAAACAAACATTATTACAAATAAAATAATAAGAGACTTTTATCATCAAAATTCAAAATCAACCATAAATTCGTAAACAACAGCCTTATCTTTGCAAAGCATGCATAAAAGAAACAACATTAGACAAGGTGATAAATGAAGAAATACCAAATTTGACAACCTCCCGAAAATCCTAGCACGGTACAGAATACCTAGAAATTCTCCACTGTAATGTAAAAAGGTTTAATAAAGATCAAAATAGAAGGAGGAGGAGAAGAAGACGACGACGATGAAGGTGTCTTCTCTTCGTCCCTTTTCACGATATAATGCTATGTGTTAGTGCCCCTCATCCAGACACACACCGTCTATCTAAACTTTTTCACCCAAATTCCCGACCTCACCATGTCCGGCGGACCAGCCCAAGACTGCCCAACACTTTCTCATTTTAATGTTATGGTCCAACCCAATATATATATATATTTTTTATCCTTTAATAATTTTTATCGTAGGTATAGCCCAGCAGCCACACTCACATCAAAAACATTCACAAGAAGCCCATAAATAGGATCTATTAGAAAAAAAAAAAAAAAATTTAAAAAGTGTTAATTGCAAAATAAACACTTGAATTATACCATTTTTGCATTTTATACCTTCAAGTTTTGGTGCTCTGGGTAACCTAAAGTGTGCAATTGTGAGTTGAAACATATAGTCTAACGAACTTGATTAATTGATTCAAATGTTGGTGTTAGATTTCTATGTATCCACACTCATGCATGATAGCCAAAAAATTAATGTGACTCTCCAACTTTCTTTCTCTACTTTTTCTCTGGCCTCTCTCTAATCCTTCAGCCGCCTCTCTTTCGTTTCTCCCTTTTGTTTGCTCCCCACTCCCTCCCATGGGAGTGGGAAAGTGCCGATCCTTACCTCCCACCGCTTAACAAACTCGGCATGGTGTAATAAGTTCGCTTGGTGGGTGGGTTTCACGCCGTTTTGCTAGATCTGCTCCTGTTTGGCTTGTTTCTGGCTCGACGATGTGGATATATTGTTTTGTCTCCGACTAGATATCTGATCTATGTCGGGTTTTGATATCCCGCATTTTTGTGCTGGGTTCGGGTGGTTTTCCTCCGTCGGTGGCGCCTTGTGGATACAGCCTTGGAACTGTTGCCTTAATGATGGCCTGACCTTTGGGTTACTCCTGTTTTGCTAGTGTGTTTTGGCTTGTTTATCGACAAATTGAAGGCCTGTTCTTCTTCTTCTTCTTCTTCTTTTATTTATTTATTTATTTATTATTATTATTTTTTTTGTACAACGTTTATGGTTGTGTTTGTAGTTGTGGTATGACTATTTTTCTTATTGTCAAGATTAAAAATATATATATATGCGACTCTCCAAGTGTGTCATTAATAGTATATGTAGAGTCTCGGGAGATTCTTTGTTGCTTCAACTTTATTTGATGTGAGATTTTACATACCTATTTTGAATACCTAAACTTGTATCTTTTAGGCAATGATATGTCCGTAGAGTGTGTTGAGAGAAGTTTTTAATATTTAAGTGGCCAATTTTGTTAAATAACATACTTTGATTGGGCCATTCTTTTAATAACCAGTTTTGGAAGGAAGAAAATTGAAGGGATGGAATGAATAGAAGAAGGGATGAATGAGATATCATTAGAGAATATATTATGTTCTTTCAATTTTTTTTTCGGTTGGATGAAAGAATATATTTACTTTGATTATCACGAAAAAAAAAAAGATTTTTAAGTTGTTTTTACCATTAAACCCATCACTTATTTTATTTATGAAATTTATTATATATATATATATATATATGATGATGATGATGATGATGGTGATGATAAAGTAATTTAAAACAATAAGATTTTTAAGTCGTTTTTATCATTAAACCCATCACTTATTTTATTTGTAAAATTTATTAAATATATATATTATAGTCTCTCCTCTCTTCTACTCATATTTGGACAAATAAAAATTTGTTAAAGAAAAAAAATGACTAATCTATTATATTATTCATTCTTTTCTTATATGGATCAGTTGAATATTGTATTTCGCATAATCAACCCAACGAGTGAGGACTGAGGTGGACAAAAATGTAGTAATTCAGTGTTTGCATTTTTTTCTCTCGATAAAATCATTAATCCATGATAGGGTGAAAATTAGATGAGTTTGGGCGAGCTATAATTGGGTGGGTCTCAAATGAGTACATAACCCCCAATAACTTTTTTGTGTTGATCATGTGTTTGGGTATTAAATGAGGAGGTCAATCCGCACTCCCAATAATCCGAATATTTTTAAATTTTTTTTTTTATCTCTATATTTTAAGACATAAATGATTTTACTGAGCAAGCATGTGAGTTCATACTTGACCCAGTGATGACAATTCAGGTAGGCCTAGATCTGAAAACAAAATTGCAACCCGATTTATTTAACCTTTAACTTTCATTTATTTCATTTCAATTTTTTTAAATAATAAAAAAAATTAAAAAAAAGTGCCTTTACTTGGTTATTATAACAGATAAACGTGTTGTGTTCATGTAAAAAATGACCTATTTAGTTAAACGTGTAAAATAAAATATTGTATTCGTGTAAAAAATGATTTAATCGTATCTTTTCGTATAATGTAATAATCGTATCGTATTTGTATAAAAAATGATTCAATCTTATCTTTTCGTATAATGTAACAATTGTGTCGTATTTGTGGTAAGAGTCTTAGATACGATTAATAATCTGTTCATTTCGATTCTAATCATGTTCAGGTTATAATCATGTCAACACCAACAGGACATGCCAATGCGATATCACGCCAACGCGAATGGCCATTCCTACGTCACGTAGAGATAAAAGGGTTATGGGTCAGAGGGTGAAGAAGAGGAAAAAGTCACCTAATTAAGACGACAAAGAAGAGATAGAAAGCAAAAATGAGAACTCACAATCTTTGGACCATCTTTAAAAAAAATAATAATAATAAATAAAAAATTTGGATAGATTGAAGTGGATACCCACTCTCAATACGATAATACCCACTCTCATTTATGACCCGCATACTTAAATCAAAAACCAAAAATTCATTATTTTATGGGGTAGGTTTAGGTGGATGGATGAATTAGTACATAAATGACCACCCCTAATCCATGAATACATCACAATTCTTGAATGAACTCAACATGTTCTTGGCTAATGAAAAGTGTTTGCGTGTGAGGGAGAGACGATGAATTGCCGGATTGTGTGTGTGTTTATTTTTTTATTTTATTTTTTCGAAAGGTGCCAAATTGTGTGTTGTAGAATCTAATTATGAGAAGGGTTTAGATATTTTGTCTTCTTTTATCGACGGATGTCGATTCTCTTAGAGTACTCAATAATCCACCACGAGACATATCACACTGTCCCCTCAATTTTATTTTATTTTTATTTATATAATCTTAATAAAATCATTAATCCTTGAACATGTATTGTTTCAACCTCAAATATGTCAATAATGTCACAATATAAAGAAAATGTAAAAGCCTCAAAATGTCCTAGTTCAAGAATTTTTACCATCAACGTTATAGTATATAAGCAAAAAGCCTTGAAAACCATAACAGAAAGAGGCCCACAAATTTGAAAGAAAAAAATTGAAATGCTGCACCAAAAAGAGGGAGAGAGTTAAGGAACCGGGTCATCGACGTTTCTAGCCTCCCTCGGCTTCTATCTGTTGTGCAACGGCCAGGATTCGGCCACATCAGCTGGCTAAGAAAAGGAGATTTAAATTAGTTAAAATAAAGAAAGCAATTAAGGCAAAGCCAAACGTTAAGACTTGGTTGACTTGGGCTTTTGAAATAAGAAAGGCCCACATACTTGAGGTCCAAAAAGTCCATATAAATAAGAAACATAGCCCTAATATTCATTCTATGCCCCTCTCGCGATCCGCCGAACCATCATTTTTAGGCAAAAAATCAAATCCCTAAAACTCACTTCGCTCCTGTCTGAATAAAATCCCCAGTTTTGGTCTTACCTTTCTTGCTATGCTATGCCGCCTCAATCATCAGGTACTCTTAATTCTTTTTCTCCTGCCAAATCCTTGCTGATATATATTTTATTCAGGTTTTGCATACTTTGTTGTTATGATTTGGTGCAAGAATTATAAGTTGGGAATGCAAAGACCTTTTTTTCTTTTCTTTTCCGATCTGAATCATGTGTCTTTCAATATAAAGATCATGTCAGAAAATGCATGAGTACTTAGTGCGTAATAATTTTTGTTGACCAGTTTAAAATTTGTGCTTTTGATATAGGTTTACTTATTGGGAAGGGAGAATTATTTGGATTGAGTAGATTCGGAAAAGAGTAAGTTTGTTTTGTGTTATTGTTATTAAACGTTTAAGCAGCACCGAAACAAAACCCCATCTCTTTCCTCTCTCTGACATTAGAATTAATTTGAAATTTGGTTTCAGTGCTTACTAGTTAGGGTTAATGGTTATCCCTGCTCAAATTTTTTTCTTTCAGTTTCAATTCTGATTATGGGTCTTTATTATCCACTAAATAAAGGTGGAAACAAATTAAATTGGTAGTTTCCGAATATGCTTATTAGAGAGTCAAGGCGGATTTATTAGAAATTTCTCTTTACTAAATTAGTACTTGTTTCATACCATACTAAATTAGGACTTGTTTCTTTCGGTATGAAGTATACACATGTGGGTAGAAGGAAATTAGAACAGTTGGCTTTTTTTACTTCATTTCTTTGCCGAAAAGCGATGCTACTCCAAGATTAACACTATAATTTGTTTTTTTGATGTTGGGACAAAAACCAGTCAAATTATATCCCAATGACAATTGACTCAAACAATTAATTTTCGAATATCCGATTGTTTTTTGGATCAGAGCCTTCCACTTTTTTCCTCCCCTTCCAAAAGGGGAGGTTAGCATATAAAGAATTTATTTTTTATTTCTTATTATTTTTTATTTCTTATTTTTATTTGGTAACAATCTATGTCATGTTCGACACGCAGGTACTGGTTACTGACCCCTGATCACATCCTACTGAGGCAGTGTACACGGCTGAGTTATATTAATAATGGATTCATAAAAGTTCGTTAATTTTTACTTTTTGTGGCGGGGAGACAAATGACCTCTTGGAGATAAAAGTTTGTTAATTTTTACTTTTTGTGGCGGGGAGAAATGACCTCTTGGAGAGTCAAGGCGGATCCATGGTTTGGAAGGACAATCATACGGTGAAATTTGTGCTACCCACTTGCAATGATTCAACTTACGTCGGGTGTGTAGGTCATACTATAAAACACGTATGTTTGAATGTCTCAATATATTTTTGTAATCTTTTTTCTTTATTGAAGATAGGGCGTCTCAGTGAACATCTCCTAACATTGCTGTAATTATTCTCATGCCTGCATTAGTAATTCTCTATGTTACAGTTTGTTGTTGGAAAGTCTATCAATATCAGTAAATAATCTTGCTCGCTGTTGGTTGCTTTGGTAAATTGATTTTAACCAAGTATTTTTCCTTGGTGTTTCATTATGTCTATTTGCAGAGCCAGCTCTGCCTGAGATGGGGCTGCCTTCCCCCTATAAAATGATAGTGAAAGAAGGTATATAAAATTCAAAATGCAAGTTTTTGTATCACAGGGATGAATTGTCGTGATAGAGAGTCCTTTGTTGCTCTATGTTTCAGATTCTGGGGTATTTAAACTTGGTATGGTGGTAATCCACGTCTCAATTGTGGTAATTCACCCTTGCTCTACTGCTCGTCTCTTCTTTTTGAGATTTTTTTTTTTTTTTTTTTTACTTATCTCTTCTTTTTGAATTCTCAGTTCTTTGCATAATTCTGTGTGAGGATGCTTTGATTTTTCATATAAAGTTTTTCTGTACTCTGTATGATTCAAAGAGAACACGGATTTGAAGAGATTTTTGGCAATTGAAAGGATCGTTTTGATTATATATATATATATATTGTACAGTTAATAGGTATGTTAGTAGAATTCAGTTACAAGCCTTTAGTTTTGTTTAGTGGTGACTGTTGTTTGATCATAAATAGAAGAAAGTGAACAGGAAGTGAGAGATGTAGGAGAGATGAGATGAGATGAGAGAAAGATTTGGCCGCTACGGTGTCCAAAACTCAAAGTCAGCTTCATTTTGAAGCTTTCAAAATGGGGAAGAAAGTTTTGCAATTTTTGGCAATAGAGTTATGATTATGGTTTAACAGATATGGAATTGGAGTTTCGAAATTAGAGTTTGTAAAATACAATAAAAAAAATTGAAAATTGTAGAATACAAGAAAAACAATTCCGAAAATTGAGTCAAAATTTTCATTATTTTTAAATTCAATATAAAGATTTCAATTCCATCCCGTTTAACAGTCTTCAGTGTTTTTTTGGTGTTTAATACTTTAAAGTGGGCTAGCGTTTACGGTATGCTCTTTAGTCAAAGTCCATGGGCTTATCATTTGAATTGAGGCCAATGCAAATCCATCAACGATGACTTCCTCATTTGTGTTCTTTCTTGTTTGCAATTATGGAGTTTGGAGAATGAGATCAATTTTTCTCTCCAGATGAAATTACTTTATAAGTTGTAATTAGTGATTTGGCAAATCATTCCTATGTGTATGTGTGAGAGAGATTGGTGAAGAATTCAAGAATTTACTTTCCCAGCTAACTGCTAGAATATTTCTAGCTGTTAAGATTCTAATACTGATTGACTAGTTTGTCCATTAATAATATGTAAAAAGAAGTTAAACTCATGTTAAAGTAGACACGGGCTTTGTGGCCTGATGATATATTTTAAAGTGGGTGTGTGTCGGTTATTTAGGCTAATAACCGTGCCTACGCATAACTTTTAATATTACTAAACACAGAGATTCCAAATATCTAAAGCATGAATCCATCTCCCTAAATTTGGATTCAGATTGTTAGCAAGCGCTTTACATGCAACCAATATAACATCTACTCTGCTTTCCATAGAGGAGGTTAAGAATTTTCATCCCGTCTTCATACTAAAAGTTGATATTAAGTTTGATATCATTGAATCACGTCTTTAAATGAAACAAAAAAAATATTTTAATTTATTTAAACTATTTTTTTTTCCTTATTCTAATTTCAAGACATGAAATAAATTCTAAAGACGTGTAGATCTTGAGCATTTTTTTTTTTTTGTTTTTTGTATATATATTTTCTCTAGTGTTCTCAACATTGCTCTTGGGCTAAAATCATAAAACCCCCCTCTTATCTTTAAAAATTGTCAACTAATCCCTTCAACTAAAGAGATTATCATATCACTCCTTAATGTTTTAAAAAATCTATCATATCAACCCCTCTCTATTAATTTTTTGTCAAAAACTAACAGATCAGATCACATGATTGTCACGTGCATAATATTTCACTTGAATATGACCATACTACCTTTTTAACCACTTAATGATTAAACTGCCCCTACCTAAGTCTAAAGAATCTCTCTTCTTTTCAACAACGTCAGAGTTCAAACTCCATGTTTTCCAGCGTGTTTCAGCAGTGGCCAACGTGAGTCCAAACAAACAACCTCAACCAAACTTCAGAGATTGCTTCAGTCCGATGCACTCCTTTTTTTGATGAAACAAAGACCCAACAGATTGCTTTAGTCTGGTGACGCCTCAAGCCCTCCCTGGCAAAACCCAGTTCAGTCTAGCGACGTCTCAAGCAACCTCGCCCCACCCCGACGAAACCCAGTTCTATCCCGTGAGCCTCAAGGTTCTTTCTGAATGAAACCACAACGGTGACGATGACCAAACCATGTAGTACCATGACTTGCATGCTTTATCCGACAATAAATCTGCGAGCTCCGGTGAATGACCAAACTAGATCCACTATCGACAAGCTTTACTAGTGAGCTCTCCTTGGCGAAACGGTAAAACCCAACAAATTACTTCAGTCCAGCGACGCCTCAAGCTTCCTTGGTGAAATTCAGTTCAGTCCGGCGACGTCTCAAGCAACCTTGATCCACCCCCGGCGAAACCCAGTTCAATCCCAGTGGTCTATTCCATCCAAGAATAGGAGAACACAAAATTAGACAATTTAAATTTTTGGAGTAACCACTGTTAATTATAACGAAGCATAGTATCAATACATTAAAATTTGAAAAATAAGCATTTAAAATCTGAAATCCATGGAATGCATGTATACATAAGATTAAGGCAACAACATAGTTTTTAAGTTGTTTAATTTATTTACAATTTAAAGTTGTCAAGATGCTTAAGAAAAACCTACCATAAGATTTTCACTAAATAATTAGGTTGCTTAGGATAAAAGTGTGTAAACAAGTATAATGCCGTACACGTATGCAGGGAGAGAGAGAGAGAGAGACAAAGCATCTTGAAATTTGACTTAATTTTTAGAGATTCAACAATTTCCAACAGTTTGAATTCTAAAAAACCAAATATTCTAGGCCAAGATGAATTCAAAACTGTGTGCACATATTTGCTAGATTTATATTCATTAGTTTAAGATTAGCTAGCCTATAAAATTTGTCAAACAACCACTAACAATCATAATCCAATAAGAACACCCACTGTTCAAGTTGATTAGTTTCACAAGAAGGGCAAAATTATCATTTGAAATTAACAATTTCAATCTAATAAAATATTAATATACTATCAAGGGCATTATTGTCATTTTACAACAACTTAACGGTTTTATTACAGAAAGGGGGCAACATGATACTTTTTGTTTGTGAGGGGATTGTTTAATAATTGAAGGGGTTATATGTCGTTTTTGTAAACAATAGGAGGGTATTATGATTTTAGCCCTTGATCCTTTGACAAAACACACCCTCAAAATCTCTGGGCAAAAGTATATCCCAACTGTTGTTGTCTTTCCCCAATGACTTTGAAGATGAAGTTAGAAGCACCCAACTACATGATGACACATATAGTCTCACATACGTGCTTTCCCTAAATGATACAAGAAATGTCCCTACATCAGTGATCGTGTCTAATTTTACCACTCGCAATAGGATGATTCCGTGTAGAATAATGCTATAAAGAGAGATGTCAAACCCACAGGGAGATGAGATTTATATTTAGTCTTTAGCTTAGTTCTATTGGTTTACAGGTAACTGGTTGGAAAGTTTACTTGGTTGTTGCGATTAAAAACAAACTAAAATTAAACTAAAATATTAAACTAAGTAATCAGAGAGAGAAATCTTAGGGCTTTAACTTTGACTTCACCACAATAATCATATTATGGTCAATTGTATCAACTCTGGGAATTTAACCAATTATGTTTTCAAATGAATTGAACTCTATAGCATTCGTTCAATTTGGATTTTAAAGAAAAATGTTTTACAAAATTCAGTTAATTATAACCTATCTGCAGTTAGTATGGACTATCCACATACCTACTTTAACTACTTTGCAAATAATTTATCTTTCCTAAGCATAGAATATGAAAACATTCTTTTATAAAAAACATTGGAATACTATTATATGACCTCTATTCTTATGCCCGGCAAGGCTCTGCAAGATACCGTCTAATAAGATAGGTTGAGAATAGAAAACAAACAATTATATCTAAGACAAGGTAATAACAGTTTGTAATCTATTAAAGCATGAAAACCAATTGAGTTGTCCTAATTGCTCATAGTCATATAATCAAGAAAACATAATATATTAAAATAATCCCAGAGTTAAGAACAATCAAACCATAATACTAGATTGGGTTACATCAGTGCCTTAAGAGAGGGATTAGCTATTCATGACGAGGTCGGATATCATCTGTGTTGAGTTCATCTCCAACGTCACGGAGGACACTTCTCTTCTAAGGATCTTCACTTCTAAGGTTGTGGAAACCCTAAAAGTCACCACGCTACCAGTCTTCTGAATAACAACGTAAAAAGAAATTGAAATTTCGAACCCCTTCTATCAAGGATTACGCCTTCTTTTATAGAAGAAAATAAGGTTCTGGTAGGCTTTTAGGTCTTTTGGCCAATCTGGGATGAGATACGGCTGATAAAGAGAATAATCCCGTACTTTAAATCTGACATGTCGTGGAAGGCTCGAGCTTTAGGAACAGAGGCTCAAGCTTTAAGGTTCAGGCTCGAGCTTCTCTAATTTGATGCTCGAGCTCCAAGAATTGTTCAATCTTCACTTTGACACTTAGCCAATTTTTTTCAACTATTTTCTAAAGCGTCTTTTCCTTCAACACTTAGAATATTTTTGGGATTGAAATCTTTTAACATTGCTCGATCCAAGCTTCATGGGCTCGAGCACTAGGTATTAGGCTCGAGCATTTGGGACTCTAGGCTCGAGCATTTGGGACTCAAGGCTCGAGCTTCAATGAATAGTGTTCGATCCTGGAGGTGAGGCATGAGACCTAGGAGCATAGCCTTTCAATTCAAACCAACTCTTCAACTTCCGACGCCTCATGCTCAAGCTTGAGGGTCAAGGCTCGAGCACCCTAAGTTGGGGCTCGAGCACCAAGGTACAAGGCTCGAGCTTCAATACCTTGTTGACTTTCTTTCTTTTCTTTGTTGTGATACTCGAGCCTCAACACTTGGGCTCGAGCTTTGGGGCTTGAATTTCTTCAAACTTCACCATTTAAGCTCTCAGCTTGCTCTGAATGACCGGCAACGACTTTGTAAGCTTCGATATCACCATAAAGTCCCGATTTTAACCATTTCTCTAGGAAAATACCTGTAAACACACATTAAACATAAATTAGTCTAACTATAGATATAAGTATCACTTTAAGCCTTAACATACGTATATTTAGGGGCTCGAATATGTATATATTCAGCGTTCATCACACCCCTAAACTTACATATTGCTAGTCCCTTAGCAATACAGAACTAAAAAGCCGTTTTTGTGGGAATCACGGTTGCATTTAACTTATGCAACAAGCCTTTGAACCCCTAAGTTACCCCTAGTGGACAAGTTGTAGTCTTATAAGGGTTTCCAGTAAAGATACCCTGGTTCTTTGCAATTTGACAGCAAACTTCTTGTTGAGGATTGTTTGTGTTATGTTGACAGTTTTGTTTGTCTTGACAGAATGGTTGAGGCTTGGAGAAGCTGATGTTTTGGTTTTTTCCTTGGGGTTCTTGGATAGATCAAGTGGAGCAGGGCAGATTGGATTGTTTCTTTTGTTGCTCCTGTATTGTTTGTATATGCTTTGTTTCTCTAAGGTTATGTCATTTTTTTGATTTGTATTGGAGTTCATTCTCCTATTATAATTGTACTCTTTGAAAAATTTTATAAAAAAATCCCATTCAGACTGGTAAAAGACTTTGTGCAATGGATTCTACCTTTTTCATGTTTAATAAGTGTAGGTTTATGATACCCAAACAAGTACATGAGAAAATATATATTTGATATTTAGCTTGTAGAATCGATGCACTTTTTATGGCAAAACATTGTCTTTTAGAGGAAGGTCAGGTTCACGTATTGCACTGACTCTTCACGGATTTTGGTTTTTGGTTTAGGCAGTAGCCTATTGTTTAGCGTTACCAACTTGTTAAGCGCTGGATGCATATGAATTTTATGTGTTTGTTCTATAGAACTGGAAGGAATAGGGATTGTTACCCTTCGCTAAATATGGGTATGATTGGATCGTTGATAGAAACAACCTAGGAGTTGTACATTTATACTATATTTCTTTTACATGGAAACTTAGTATATTGTTGGTTATGTTGGAAATTTGGTAAAGCTTACCTAAAAGAGGCTATACCACACGAAAACGGAAATGAATTTTAAAACGACAATAATTCAGAGTTTCGTGAATTCTGAGAACGGAATTCCTTTTGTTAGGGGAGGAGAATGTAATACCCCTAGTTTTCAAAAGGATAAAAAGGGAATTTAATTTTGTTTTTATAACATTTTGATTTAATTATGTGACTTATGTAGTTTATTCGCTTAGTTGATTTAGTGTGACTTTATTTTAAATTAATTGATTAATTGTTATTATGTATTTGTTTTATTTAATTGGTTAATTGTAATTATTTGTTGGTTGGTTTTATTTAATTGTTTAATTGTGGTTAGATTTACTTCTTTGATTTATTGGTTTTAATTGACGTGTCTTTGGTATATTATATTTGGTAGCTTTTATATGTTGTTTGTGTCGTAGGGTTTTATTATTTTTTTTTTCCGTATAATTAGGTCGCCGACTTATATTAGGGTTTAATTAAAGCCTATAGAGATACGGATATAATCAGACTTAAGATTGGGATGCCTATATATGTATCCTGATACGTTTGCTAGGGTTGGGAAGAACTCTATTCACGTGATAATGTTTTGAGAGGAAACCAAAGAGAGGTCTTGAGAGGAAAACTAGAGAGAAGCTTAAGGGGAAACAGAGAGGGTTTTGATGATAGCTTGTGAGGCTAACGAATAATGAAAGGATTGGTTCTGGATGGAATCAAGAAGTCACAGAGGAGGGGAATAATGGTCAGAGGAGGATAACAGTGTTGGGGTTGCTGGAATTTAGAGACCCGGCGTTGAAAGGTTTCAAACCGAAGCCTAAAGGCAAGTTTCATTCTATTTCCTTCCTGTAAACTTGTGTTCTGTGCATTCTCTATAGTCTCCAGGAATCTAATTTAATTATTAAAACGGATGCTTATACGTGATAGAGTCTCTGTACAATTTTAAACCCCTGTTCACTTTTGAAACTATGAACTGTTGTGTTTTTGTTTTAAATTTTTGTCAATATTTTCACAAGGGAATTTGAGGAGTTTCTAGGATTGAATGAACCTGAATTAAACCCTAGGAATGTAAGAAAAATTCTAGAATGGAGGGTTGAACTTCGCCGGACGCGAAGAAGACAAACGGAGAAAACATAAACTGTTGCAATCATGGTTTAAGCTTTTGCTAAGTAATTCATGCTGGAATTAAATATGTTTCTAGGCTTGTTAGGACTTAATATGAACCTTAAAAATCTTTAACAAAGTTGGGACAGAGGATTGAGACTTGGCCGGACGCGAAGAAAGTAACACAGAGGAAGCAGAGAAGGAAAAACGAAGGCTGGAGAAGTGGAGGCGGCTCCACCCTTCAATGGAGGCAGCTTCATTGAAGTGGAGCCAGCTCCACAAAGTGTTGAGGTGGCTCCAATATGGGTGGAGCTGGCTTAACTTAAAATTGGAGGCGGCTCCAATTTTGGTAAGTGCCCAGAACGTGTTTTTTTTGTGGTTTTTGGACTGCAAGGGCTATAATGCAATACTGAAGTTTAGTTGGGGGTTTTAAAATATTATATATAACATATTTAAAGACCCAGGAGTAATAGTTTAGGCTATGGGTAAGGGACATCATGAATTATAAACATAATTATGCATAGTGTCAAGGAAGGAGAAATATTTAAATTTCTAGTTATTTAAGCTAAATGAATAGACTGAAAGGGAAGTTGTTCTTGGGATTTTATATCAATGACCAATATAATCTAATCAGGTTCTAGGAACGATGGTTTCTGCTGTGATTATGGATATCATGAAATTTAGATACTAAATTATATGCTGTCAGGAGTAGCGGAAGTTATAATTGCTAGTCTCACTTTAGAAAACTAAATGGACTAGTATGGAGGTAGTTTTGGCATTCAAATATAATGTGTTCAGTTAATATTTCTGTGTCTCAATATAGTATGCTCTAGATTTATATTTGAGGATTAAATGACGTTATGAAATTTGAATATTAATTTGCATGTCGTCAAGGATTGAGGAGGATTTAATTACTAGAGTTGCTTTGGCTAAGTACATGGACTATTATGGACGTATTGTTTTTGGCATTCTGGCATAATGTGTTTAGTTAAAATTCTGTTTAGCATTATGTCGTGCTATGGTTGTCAATTGCTGAACTGTTATAATTTTTGTTCTGTCAATTATATGGAAATGGATGGGTTTAAATTGTTTGCCATTACTTTAACAACTTAAAATGAGGATCTATGATTATAATCATATACTGGATGCATGATAGGATCTTATCAATATCTGATTTCTATTATGTTGGTTTCTGGATTTACTTGATGTTCATTTGGAATGTGCATCATTCTTGGATCATATGCATTATATGTACCGGTATGGGACGGTGACATATCAGGGATGGATTAGATCAAAAAGCTAAGTCCTACCCCTTTATACATACGGAATGGATTAACTAAAACAGTTAACTCCTACATGGATACATGTCCTGTCAACTAAAACAGTTGAACGACATAATGGATGGTTGTTTTATCTTTTTGCATTAGGAAGGAATTTATATATATATATACTTATGGTACCGTGATACGAGCTTGAGTCTCCTGATCACGATTAGGGTGCGTATATCGCCTAGGATTGATAACCAGGCCTGATGATGTTTCCCTGGTTGTTCTACTCGGGTTGAGACGGATTATGTGGGCTGGTGAACGTCCTATAGTGTGTACTTATATCTATATGGACTACTTTAGTTCTTGTTGAGTTATCTAGGATGTATCTGCGTATCGGGTTTGTATGGATTGTAGTAGTATGGAACTTGCATATGGGCCTGACCCACCCTTATTTTTTAGATGTTTGACAGTACCAGGTTTAGAGCTTGTTCGTGGTGATGCAGATACAGTCACTCACTCTTCTGACTAAATAGGATTTTCTTTCTGATTTTAGTTTTGGATTTTAATTCTGTAAAGTTTTATCATTTGGGATTATTAGGGGTCCACTAGTTGGATTCCCGAGTTGTACGGAATTAAAGGTTTAAATTTTATTAAACTTTTATTTGGAGGTTTTTCGTATTTAGATTTCTACTCAGCTTATTATTTATTTTCTTTATTTCGTTTTGTATTCCAGCGTGTTTACATATTGACAGTTGGTATCCCTCGGATCTGTGCTCGAACTTGATCACCCATGGCTCTAGAATCGAGGGGTATCACAAGTAATGACAGTGGTGGGTTTATTTTGGACCGTGGTGGGTATTTTGTACTAATGGTGTAATGTGGATGGTTTATTTTGGACAGTGGTGGTTTTTTTTTTTAATGTGTGGCTATTTTGGACAGTGAATGTGTTGGTTTATTCGACAATGTATGGCAATGTAATGACAGTGGCTGTTTTTAATGTATGGCTATTTTGGACTGTGAATGTGTTAGCTTTTTTGACAATGCATGGCAATGTAATGATAGTTAATGTTTTTAATGTATGGCTATTTTGGATAGTGAAGCTGTTGGTTTGAATATATGTATGCAACTTTACCTTAAATGCATTTTGACAAATTGTAACTTGTCAATTTGATTTTGTTCGTGCAATTCGAAACACAAGGCTTAACACTTACAATTCTACAATTTAACTTCAACATACACTTTTACTCAAGCATTTGACAATTCAGAAAATACATTGTATACACACTTCATACAGCTTCAAAATATATTTTGCATACACAGCCTCATATTAAAACCAACTGACTACTTTCTTCCTAAAGCTATTATACATGCAACAACATAGAACATAACAAATACTACAACTAATTGCTTCAGAATTTTTTGGATTTGTTCCTTATTTTTTCCCATTGCTTCCAAACGGAACTTCAATTCTGCAATTTCACTAAACTTGCTTTCATTTGCTTCAGTATATGCTGGCATTGTACAAATCGGCTCACACCATGCCTATAAAGAGCATTTTTTTGTACCACAAGAATAGTATATCCTCCCTTTGTTGTTATACTCATCTGAACTTGTAACTCTCACTACAGTTGGATAGCCACAACCACATATTATGTTGTTATACCTGAGATCTTGCCGATTAACAGATCATGTGCTCGAAGAAGACATTTAGGTTCCCTGATTGCAGGTTAGGGCTTCGAATAGAGCACATAGTGGCTTCAAATAATCAATTGGGGACTTCAATACATCGATTAGGGCTTTAAATCATCAATTGGAGAATTTAAAAGATCAATTAGGGCTTATGATACTGCTGCTATGGAGAATCCTCAAACCACTTCAATCACAGACAAAAACAAGAGAAGACAAGAGCAAAGAGAGAACAGAGAAGAGAGAAGAAGGCACTTAACGAAGAGATAAGAGAGAAGACGGCAAGTTAACAAAGTAAGAAGCGATAGCAACGAACGAGAGAAGAGATCTTCTATGGCGGCAATCCTCACTAACCAGTGCAATACAACGACAGAGAAAGAAGGAGATAAACAATGCATAACCGAGAGGGTGGGGTTAGATAACAAACCTGAAGGGTTTTTCGTCATTTTCATACAATAAGGGTACTTTCGTCATTATATTGAGGTATCTAGTGCACGTGACGCTCACGTGATTAGAAGACGTTAGTTTTAGACGGTCAACTAACGGGGAGGGAGTCATATGATAGATTTTAAAATACGTTGAGGGGTTTTATGATAGTTTCCATACTTGAGGGGGTTAGTATATACTTTTTTAAAATAAGAGGGGGGTTTTTAGAAATTAGCCCTATTTATTAAATTGAGTTAATCTCAAACATTCCTATACTCAGCTTGTTCACAAACATGTTCGATAATAGGCAACTATTTGGGCTCGGCTCGTTCTGAGTTCGGTCCGTGTTAATTTGTTTAGCCTATTTTCAAACATGTTTGTGAACAAGCTGAAATGTTTGAGATTAACTCAGTTTAATAAATAATCTCAGTATTTTTGTTTGAGATTAATTTGTTTAGCCTATTTTCAAACATGTTTGTGAACAAGCTGAAATGTTTGAGATTAACTCAGTTTAATAAATAATCTCAGTTTAATAAATAATTTCATGAAAATCTGGACCATTCATGCAAAAAAATTTACAAAGATAACAAAGTGAGCCCAAAAATTTTAAAGGAAAAAAAAAAAAAAAAAAAAGACGACTTTGCGGCATAATATCAATGTAAATATTGAAGAGCACATCATGCATTTTCCACAACAGACTATATTGAAAAAACTTGTTTCATCTCAATTTTTCCGAAAATTAAGGGGTTGTCTTTAGGGCTTTTATAATTTTTTTCCCAAAAATTAAGGGGTTGTTTTCTTTTACTTTTCGGTGTTTGACAAAGATCTAAGTCGATATTGAGGTCGAGTCTATAAAGTGCGGCATGTAAAATAATTTGTCGAAAATTAATGAATAAGTTATTTTTACTAGGCTTTAATAATTTTTTTATTCGTAAATATTTTACGATAGTCAAACATCAAAAAATACAAAATATATTTTGCTAAAAATATTTCACGTTGCCTAAATTAACCTTCTTCCACATCATGCAAGATAATATTGCATATTATTAATTAAACAGATACAGAACAATGATGTTTCACAACCTCTTTAGCTTCATAATTGAATGTCCTCCCATTTTCGCAACTTATAAAGGGGTTTGGATATATATATATATAAGGGGGTTGGATATTGGAAGCCACTTCTACAAGTATTCTTACATGATATACTAGGGTTTATAAAGGTTACAACAAAAGGAACACTAACTGTTAGTCTCTCCCAAGTTTCCTACTGGTGGCAGCTTTGGAGTGTGGCGATTATTAGCACCAGATCCCGGATAATCATTCTTCTCTAAATCCATTCTGCCATTAAGCTCCTCCTCCATGAATTCCCCTTCTATCATCTGTTTCCATTAGTAAAATATATGTATCGTGTTAGGAATGTTCCACATCCTTAAACTACCTTGATTGTTCAATATAGTTTTGATTCAAAAGTATGCAAGTAATGTACCTGGTGCGTGTTTCCAGAAGCTAAACTATCTTGAATTTCATACAGAAGATGAAGATGTCTAGTCCCTGTAACCACAATGCAAGTTTTAAGCAAGAGTAAATTTGCAAATATAAAGTAGATCAATGAAGGAAGTGTTTGATAATTTTACCTGATGTTGCAAACATAAGATGAGAAAAAGCCAGTACAAACACTAGTAGATGGAGGGCACTGCCTGCCATTTTTCTATCACACTATAAGTTAATTATTAAGTTTTGTGTGTGTTGTTTTTCACACAGCTGGTTCTCCATTTATACATCTGTGATTCACATTCTTTTTGGATGTGTGGTTTTTGGAACACACAAACACAACACATTGGCAATGAAGTCCAAAGAGGTAGAAAGAGCCCCTAAAATGGAGGATTGCCTAACTTCTTATATGTAGCACCCCATTAATTCCCTCTCATTTTACTCTAAAAAAAAATCATATTTTCTGCTTTTCCAAACGAACCTACAGCTGCTATTTGAGGTCTCTTTAGGTAGTGCCATTATTCAAGGCAGTTTGATGCCTACATGATATCTTTTTGGTGACATCCAAATATCAGTGAAACCCTATAGTCTAATTTGGTGGAACATGAACTATATATTTAAGCCAAAACCAATACATAAAGATACTCACACACCAACACAAAATTTAACATAGTTAGGCACAAATCGACCAACATTCATAAATGAAAAGAAATTTCACATGTTCATGGGTCATAGTCTTGTTGTGTTGATCGAAGGGTATTCTACTGAAGAGGTCAACCCGATCTGACCCATTTAATTAGTTAATGATAATTTAATGGACTTTAAGGATGTATTAGTTAATAATTATTTAAATATATGAATTAATATTAATAAATTAAATTTTTATCTATTAGGTTATGGCTAAAAGATAAATAAATAATAAATAATAAATAATATTAATTATAAAAATAATAATAGATAATTTAGATAAAACCCAATCAACGAATTCAATCCGATTCGATCAAATATTATATGGATCCGATCAGTACGATAACGGTTCGGATGACGAATTAAGATTTGTCTAATATGTTGAGAGCCGATCGGATTAAACCTAATTTGGTCCGATCCGTGGTCACCCCTACTAACTAGAATACCAACAGTGTATACCTTTTGAATCATTTTATTCTATATTTTGACTTTTTCTATAATGCCTGAATATGGTCTTTACGCGTTATAGTTGTCACAAAGCATAAACCAGTGTTGTCACCACAATATAACAGATTATAATTAAGCACTTTGACCTATGTTATCTTATTTTTGGTTGGCCATAACTAAGAAATTGTTGCTCTCCACATACATTGGAGTCATATGTAATGGAGGTTGACACTTTGAAAGTCTAATTTTCCACTCCTTTTCCTTCAGAAAATGTGCAATCCATTCTGCAATCAATAGCACCATGTATGACATCCTTTTCATCTTTCATCACACCCCCAAAAAAGCTGTTCTACCCAATTTTCTTTTACCTATTAACCTCTATTTTTCCGTTGGATTAATGATTATTTTATTTTATTTTTAAAATTTAATGCCAATTGGTGTTGAATTTTTTTTTTTCGAAAAGGTATAATTTGTTGACACAAAAATCATCTCTAAAAAAAAAAAAAAAAAAAAGGGTAAATGACACCTATCTCCTTGAGGTTTGACCTAATTACACATGAAAATTATGTTTGGTATTTATTACACGTGTACTCTTATGACTGAAAAATCCTTATTTGTAGCTACTATATGCTATATCTTTTTTTTAAAATTTTTTTTTTATATACATTTTCAAATATATATTTTTTATCTATTATAGTTTTTTTGTTTTTCAATTATTAATATATCTGTATTTTTCATAAGCAAGGTTGGAGGAGTATAAAGAGCACCGAAGCCTCATTTGTGCCCACCAAATTAAAGAAGCTCGGATTCACCATTGAAGTTAGGAAAGCTCACTTGGTAGTTGGGTGCCTTTTTAAATTCATTAATTTAATGGATAACTGAAATTGTTTCTTAGTATTGCTGAAAAAAAAAAATAAAGCTCTCATTTATATATAAATAATTTTAAAGTAAACATTATAATATATAAAAAATAAAAAAATTACACACTTTAATAACTAGCTAGTATGGATATAGATTTAGGAGTCCACAGGGGCATTGGCGCGTTCGCAAGAATTTAGGAGATAAATTTTTGAGGGTTCGCTTTCAAACCACAATTCTGACTTGAATAGGGTGTGTGTGTTGTGAGGCCGCTCGAAAGAGAAGAAAAAAAAAATTAAAAAAAAGAAAGTATGATATAGATTTAGATACCGAAATAGATAGAGTGCCTTCCATTAAGCATTTAATTATTTATTACTAGTTTGTAAAGCCCAGCCCAACCCAAACCCAATGAGTTTGTACAAGAGT